AAAAAAAAAAAATTTGCGAATAACACATGTTGTATCTTCAAATAAATTTCCTTTTTTAATATTTTTGAGGTACAAGCATACAGCTATAAATAAATTTAATACTTTTAAATAAAGGAAAGTTACGTATTTAAATTAAGAGTTAATTAAGAGAGACAGGACAAAGAAATCCTTTCTTACAGGAAAGTGGTATCTTTTTGGAGGGGACACAACAGGGCGCATTTAATTATATCAGGGCAGGATAAAAGGAGTAAAGGGCAATAGGGCGGATATTTTATATCAAAAGGGCATACGGGGCGGGCCGCCCCGTAAACCCCGCTTAGAATGAACCCTGCTCATATATAAAATATATGTAATCAAATACTTTTACTAGCTATTAAAGTTAAAATTTTTCTAGACATATTTTTTTGTAAAAAAATATTATACTTCTAGTCACTGAAAACTTCATTTTCGTGGACTTAGTATTTTAATTAAATTCCCTGATTTTTTTTCAGGCTGATAAAAGTCACGTTTTTTTTATTTATTATTTGTCCAGATTCTCTTATTCTGTCACAACCCTTATTAAAAGTATGGTATTTTACAAAGAACAAAAATGAATAAAGTTAGATTATAATTTACCAAATGCATTTTTTAAGCTAAAACCAAAACAAAATAGAAAGAGGGGGAAAAAAAGTTTATTCTTGGTTTTCAAAAAAAAAATCTTAGCTACGCCACATATTAATAACACAACAATGATAAAAAGCAATTAAAATTTTGAAAAGAGCTCTTAGGAGAGGAAAATATTAATCATTTTCACATTACATGTGGATTAGAAATTGATTAAAAAACATATTTTTGCAACTAAATTTTTTCAAGTTATAATTCAGAGATAGCAGAGAAATAAATTATTTTTTCTTAAGAAATATCAAGCTTGGAGATCCATATTTAAAAAAAAATCCTTCACTGATAATTCACTTTTCAGGGAAATAAACCACACAAAAAATTTATAATACACATTTGATAATATTCATAGCATAGGAGCAAAAAGGTAAATATCTGTACTTAAGGACACAGTATTAAAATGTAATAATTTTCTATTAAGAGAAATGACACTTACTCTTTCAGACTATCATAGTCCGAGAACTCATTTGTGGAATTTCCATTTCTGCAATAATAAAAAGTGCATATGTAACGATTATAAAATACATGATAAAGAAAAAGAGTGGAACTAAAACCTTGAAAATAAAACAATAATTTATGAAACAAAAATAAAAGTATAAAATAAAGACTATCTAATTCCTTAAAAAAGATTAATACAGAACACTTAAATTAAATTAAATAAATACGTGTTGAAATTTTGTCTTTTTCTTTAGAAATGCTTGTAAAAATAAATGTTTAAAAAAAATCTTCTTAGGAGTTTAATATTTGAACAAATTTAAATGAACTTGGACAAAAAAGAGAAGAGATGCCAAGTTTTACATGTTTCTTAAAAAAATCATAACTTAATTCCTTCATTAACCATCACATAAAATATTAAATAAGGTTAATTATGTTCACTAACACTAACAGCACTTTAATACTGTTATCTAGCTTATCACTAGCTTCTTTTTACAACTGGCTTTTATTTTAAAATGAAATGTTGTTTTTTAGCTTTTTAATATTTTAAATATTACTATTCAAAATTAACATACACATATTGAAATTACTTTACTAATGATTATTCAAAATAATATAAGTAAAATATACTAGAATATTAATTTACTTTATCTTAAGGGCATTTAAATACACAAATAGATAAAATGTTTTTTTTTTATGATTTTATTTAGGGGTGCACAACTTGCTGTTTGTTGATGCATATCCTGCGTGAGTTTCTGAACACAATAAAAAAAAATAAAAAAACATTTTTGAAAAATAATAAAAAAATTTTAAAATTTTGAATTACACACTTGTGCCAATTTTTTAATGTGCTCAGTTCGCACAGATTCTAGTGAAAATCCACTTTGTTTCTAGAACGTTTTTTCCGGCCACATTAATTGCTTTGGAATTCCGTGTGATTTTCCAAAAAACCTGATATCTTTAATATGATATTGCTAAACGCCAATTTCCAGTTTGAGTAATCGCATTTTGATTCGCTTTATTTTTGCCGATTTCATCATAATTTTAATTAAATCTTATTTTCATTCTATGAGCCTTGCAGTTTTTTTTTTCTTTTGTTAGAATTTATTTTAAAATGAACTTTTGTATGACATATGATAAAATAAAAAAAATTCTTTTTTCCCAGGTTCTTTTATTTATCATTACTAATATTTTTAATCAAAATTATCATATTTACTGCCATTATGTCAAATAGGCATTCATATCTTCGTTATTCTACCTGCTGTGCAAGTAGCCCTATAGTCAAAAAGGTTGTGCACCTCTAATTGTAATTACTGCAACATATTTGTTTCAAAATCAAAAAAAATTTTCGGAAATTATTGTTTCTATACTAAATCAATTTGTTCCAATTTATCCCAACTGTGCAGTGGTTGATGCAGAATAATTACACTTTAAAACTGTAATAAATCTCCCTTAAATTAGGTGCTTTCAAAGTTGGAATATTAGTCAGGGGTCTGTCCAGACATTTTGTGAAGGGTACATTTTTGTAAAATTGTGAAAAAATTACTCGTAATTTGTGAATATAAAATAAATGTTAAGTCACATTCTTTCAACCAGGGTCCGCTTTCGTGAATTTATGCAAAAAAGGTCCGCTATTGCAAAAAAAAAAAATTTCAAGGAGTTTTTAAATTATAAAGACATACAAGATTATGCTCAACACTGTAAAATTATAATTAAAAAAATTAANAGCAGAAGTTATCCCGGGTGATCAAAGTGATGAGGAAGAAGCAGCTGACTGTTCTCTAAACAGGACTCAAATTTCACCCGAGAATGCCATATTGCTAATTAACACTTTGCAAGATTTTCTTGCAACATTACCAAATGTAACTGATGTACATTTGAATTCATTAGATGGACTGAAATCTATGTGCATGGAAATGGCAATTGCTTTCAAAAATAAGCAAACAAAACTAACTGATTATTTTTCTAAATAATTTCTGTTTTGATTCATAAAATTGTAAGTAAATTTTTCTTGTGTGCTGTTTCATAATTCTAAGTAAAATTTTCATTTGGAGCCTATAAAAGAAGTTTAATTTATCATTAGTTTTAAACATATACTTTCAAATTTCAAACCTGTCTATAATGATAACCTGCCTATAACAATATTTTATTTAGGTCCCTACAGTATCGTTATAGACAGGTTTTACTGTATATGAATTTGACAAAAGAGTGCGATTTTTAAACTTGTAAACCATGTGATTATAAATTTAAGAGAATATGAATCCCGAAATGAGGCTTTTACATCACGTGAATATGAAACTCTATATTGAATTTTAAAAAATGCGAAAATACAAATCATGAGGCGTAATTTTTAGATCATGTAAATACAAATCACGATGTGTAATTTTTAAATAGCACGAATATGAATTCCACTGTCTAATTCTTAAAGCACGTATAAATAGGAAAATTGATGTTTGATATTACAACCGCAAAACCGAAGCACGACATTGGATTTTAAGCTCGCGTGAATATGAATCGCTACATAGGGTTTTAAAAACGCGTAAATACAAATCGCGATATTGGATTTTTAAATCTCGTAAATAAGAATCGCAATGTACGACATTTAAATCGCCTGATTCAGAATCGCAATGTTCAACTTTCAAATCAGGTAAATACGAAAATCAATGTTTGAGGGAGGAATGAGGACTTCAATACTTTCGCTTCGCGGAAAATTTAATTCCTCATAAAATATTTTAACTAGTGCAAAAAAATTTTCAGCGGAAATTAGCGGGAAAATGGAAAAATCTGAAGGAGAAAAAAAAACGGATAAAATATGATATTGCTAAATGCCAATTTCCCGCTTGAGTAATCGCATTTTGATTTGCTTTATTTTTGCCGATTTCATCATAATTCTAATTAAATCCTATTTTTATTCTACGAGCCTTGCAGTTTTTTTTTGTTAGAATTTATTTTAAAATGAACTTTTGTATGACATGATAAGATAAAAAAAAATTCTTTTTTTCCAGGTTCTTTTATTTACCATTACTAATATTTTTAATCAAAATTATCATATTTACTGCCATTATGTCAAATAGGCATGCATATCTTCATTATTCTACCTGCTGTGCAAGTGGCCCTATAGTCAAAAAGGTTGTGCACCTCAAATTGTAATTACTGCAACATATTTGTTTTAATTATTAATTGTTTCTAAACTAAATCAACTTGGTCTAATTTATCCTAACTGTGCAGTGGTTGATGCAGAATAATTATACTTTAAAACTGTAATAAATCTTCCTTAAATTAGGTGCTTTCAATAAAACTGTGGATGATTTGCTCAAAAAAACTACATTTTGCTTAAAAAGTTGGAATATTAGTCAGGGGTCTGTCCAGACATTTTGTGAAGGGTCCATTTTTGTAAAATTGTGAAAAAATTACTCATAATTTGTGAATATAAAATAAATGTTAAGTCACATTCTTTCAACCAGGGTCCGCTTTTGTGAATTTGTGCAAATAGGGTCCGCTATTGCAAAAAAAAAAAAAAAAAATTTAATTTATAAAGGCATATAAGATTATGCTCAACACTGTAAAATTATAATTAAAAAAATTAAATTTTAAAAAATAAATAGCAATTGCAGCTACTAAATTAGCAATGCAACATATAAATATTTGGTATTTAGCCTATACTGCTGAACACAGAATATTCATTTCGGACGAATAAAGGAAGAAGCGTCTAGCGAAGACAAAATTTAGTTCGTTTACAGCTGTCTTTCTCCTCCCCCCCTCCACTCCTGGGAAGGGTTTATTCCACTAACAAAACAATAATGAAGATCAAATTTGTGAAGGGTCTGATTAAAAGAAAAATCATTTTGTGAAGGGTCCGCTTTTAATGAAAAGATATTTTGTGAAGGGTCCGTTAACGGACCCAAATTTCTCCTAAACAGACCCCTGTTAATAATTATAGTTTATTTTATATTATTCATATACTTATGCTGCATGAAATAAATTAATTTATAATAGCAATTTAAGTAGTCTAAAATGGTAGTTCTTAAAATTACCAAGGTTAAAGCTGTTGCTTTAAACTGTTTCGAAAATGCAAAGTTCCAAACTGCTCCAAATTGTTTCTAACATACAATTACATCAATGTAATAATTACAAATAACTAATTAATTGTATATCCTTTTTATATTATTACAGTTTTCAAGAAATATAAGTTTAAATAAAAGCCAGTTTATTTTAATTTTAGCCAGACTTTTTAAAAATTAAAAAAACAACAAACTTTTTTTGAACTGGTTGAAATTTGCTGAACCTTGTTGAGTAACATACGTATTTTCTATACAACTTATTGTAAGAAAACAAAGAGCTTTTCTTTTTTGCTTGTTAGTACCGTCAAAAATGAAAAATGTCTTATTTTAGAACTTAGAAATGGACTATGAGTTGCCATTTGTATGAATTAATTAAAACAACTATAGAAATCATCATAATACTAATATAAAACTAATAATATTTGTATTATAAATTTTTGTGTGTTTACAGAATTTTTAATGCAAAAGAGCTACACTATGTTATACTAACTTTAAAACATATGCACTGAATTCCTAAGCAAGCATAAAACTTTACACTTTAACATGTGCAAACTAAGCTTTCTAAATTATCTAAGTCAATATCTAAAAACTTTAATACTTGGTGCATTTTTATGACTTCAATTTTAAAATAATAAATACATAATTAATACGAAAAATTTAAAATTTTATTACAACTTGTCTTAAAATAATTTGAAGTCATCATGCTTATCAGCGGTCTCGAAGGAAGTGAGGCAAAACAAAATTCAGACAAAGACAGTAACATTTACATAACATAAATATTTATTGACTAATACAGGTCAGTTTTACCACTATTTATAGATGACTTCACTAAAGTCTACCAACAGGCAAAATATTTGCCTTTATAGAAATAATGAAAAAGGTAGCAAAAATACATTTTTTTATACTTTCTCAAATATTTTATACTCTAAATTTCTATTTAATGAAACTCTATTATACCTACAAAAAAATTAATTTAAAATTTAAAAATGACTTTTTGATTACTATTTTACATAATTGTTTCGATTTCATATTTAAAATATCTTTTAGAGAAATTTATATCATGTTAAAATATATCTTTGATAAAATTTTTCCCAAAAATACACATCATGTATTTTAAATGAAATTATCGTTTGNGAGTTGCCATTTGTATGAATTAATTAAAACAACTATAGAAATCATCATAATACTAATATAAAACTAATAATATTTGTATTATAAATTTTTGCGTGTTTACGGAATTTTTAATGCAAAAGAGCTACCCTATGTTATACTAACTTTAAAACATACGCACTAAATTCCTAAGCAAGCATAAAACTTAACACTTAAACATGTGCAAATTAAGCTTTCAAATTTATTTAAGTCAATATCTAAAAACTTTAATACTTGGTGCATTTTTATTACTTCAATTTTAAAATAATAAATACATAATTAATAAGAAAAATTTATAATTTTATTACAACCTGTCTTAATGCATTAACATCATGCTTATTAGCGATCTCTAAGGAAGTGAGGCAAAACAAAATTCTGACAAAGACAGAAACATTTACATAACATAAATATTTATTGACTAACACAGGTCACTTCACTAAAGTCCACCAACAGGCAAAATATTTGCCTTTATAGAAATAATGAAAAAGGTAGCAAAAATACATTTTTTTATACTTTCTCAAATATTTTATACTCTAAATTTCTATTTAATGAAACTCTATTATACCTACAAAAAAATTGACTTTTTGATTACTATTTTACATAATTGTTTCGATTTCATATTTAAAATATCTTTTAGAGAAATGTATATCATGTTAAAATATATCTTTGATAAAAATTTTCCCAAAAATACACATCGTGTATTTTAAATGAAATTATCGTTTGATTGACAACAAAAAATTTTAAAAGATTATCCTGAAAGCATTAATGTACAAATCTTGGATTAATATTCTATGTATTAGCATTAAATTGGCAAGTTAGAAAAAACTACTATTGTATTAAGGAGAACTTAAAATCTAAAAATGATAAATCTAGAATGATCTGTTAATTACATCAAAATTCAAATACTCACGCTTCTGTTAGGTCAGTTGAGTTTTCTGGGCCTAACTCAGATCCTGACACCCATCCACTATCATTTCTAAAAAGAGGAAAAAATTGTCAAAATTGATTGGACTCAAATGGTGCAAAAGCTGCTATCAACTATACTCCATCAAACTGAAATGACACAACTAGCTAAAGGTTATTATATCAAAATGTAATTTGCGAAAATAAGAGTATTGTTCTTTTTTTAAAAAATAAACAAATGAATCCTAATCAATTCCTTGTGTGATATTGTGTATTTGCATAAAACAGGTACATATTATTTACACTAGTCTTTTTGTTAGAAGACTTCAAAAGTCAACAGCTGATCTTACAAAGCTGACACAGGCACTTTAAATTTATAATAGTGGTAGCAAATCTACAGTGAAGTAATATAAAGTTTTAAACATCTCTTTCATTAGGAGTTCTGAATACGAAGACAATGTCTGAAAAGTAACACCTGTAATATACCTAGCCACTTTAACATTGAGTCCCAAGAATTTTCTCCATATTGATTAGCTTAGTGTTTAAATAAGAAAAAAGAAAGCACATAGTTTCATGTTATACTTCGGTTGAAAACTAGAAAAAAAGCACATTTATTGTGGTGTGTCCATTTTTATAAATATGCATTTTTAGCTATGTTCTTATTTGTAAACATATATTTTAACTGTGTTTGTTTTCCTAAACATGAATTTAAACTGTATCCATTTCCATAAACAAACTTTTTGAGCTGTATCATGATGCACTTATTAATTAGTTACATGACTGACAGATAATTTTTTTATTTATTGGTCACAAACTAACAGACCATCAATCATTTTCAATACTTAATTTATGCACAGAACATACATTTTTGTAAGCTGCAGCTATAGTTAAATTATCAACATACTTGCTATTTTCAAAGCTGTCTGAATGATTGTCCATTTTCCCTTTCTTTTTTGGCGAAGTCGAATCAGAATGCATAAGACGACGTTTTTTAGTTAGCCTTTTAAAAGGTTTATTTTTATCACCATTTAACCTTTTAGGAACTCTCTCTTTTGTCTTTTCTAATGTCTAAATTAAGAGAAAAAAGGACAGATTAAATTTAAAAAATCTACAATAAAAAACATGTCAAAATTGGAAATAGTAATTGACTACAATTAAAAGTAAAACATTCATTAAGAAGAAAATAGTAAAATGCAAATAAAATAAAAAATATTATATGTGTACAGTAGACTGGTCCAAAAAAAAAAACTTTTTTTTAAAATTTGCGGGTCTTAACCCTAAATACTTGTACACATGACTAAAGAAGCCCCCATGCAAAATTTCAGCTGATTTCAAGTACATTTAGATGTAGCTCAAAGGCTTTGAAGTTTTTACTTTGAAACCTTAAAAAAGTAATTTCCATATTATCACTATTTATTATTTTTTTACTTATTTTCATAAACAATGGTCATATATTATGATGTTGTTGTTGTTAATTTACGTCGCACTAGAGCTGCACAATTTGCTATTGGCGACAGTCTGGGAAAGTGGTCACCCACCCGCACACTGATCGTAGCCAGTGATGCTTGACTTCGGTGATCTGCTGGGAATCATGTCTTAAGGATCAGTCCACTGCGGGACCATATATTATGATAAATATAATAATTATAAATATAATTATTATATAGTTAACATTTTGCTTCTTGTTTTGGCAACACCAAATTACTTTATTTGGGTTTGGCAACACCACATTGTTTGTTTACATCTGTGACCTGGTGAGATTTTATTGAAACAATGTCAACAAACAAAATTAGATTTAGAAAAGACTCTGAAATTTGGTTACTTGGTTTTCCCATAAGTGAAATAAAAGGATGTAAACTACCTTCCATTAATGCAGTACTAAGAAACTTCTTCTTTCACCATGAGACAAAAACAATACATGAAAGTGCAAGTCACACTGTTGATAGTGTGTTGACCTTCTGGAATAAGGCTAGAATTCCTACAACCGAAAAGCAGAATGCAGTAAGAAAGTTAGAAAAATTAGTTGAGCGGTACCAAAAATTGAAAAAGAACAGAAATCGGCGTACGAATACTCAAGAAGACAATGAACAGAAGTTTATCAAAGAATGCAAGATGTTGTGGGATATCGCTCATGTCGGTGCTTTACAGATGATAAAAATTGAAGAGGATAAGAAGTTTTTGCTTAAACAGCGAGAAGGATTTGAAGGCTGTATGTTGTCAGTCGACAGAAAACTTGAGAAGAAAGAGAAACGCTCATCTAAAAGGAGGCGATATGAGACACTACCATCTAATAGTGTGGACATGAATAAAAACAAAACTGTATGTTATCCTTCATCAAGTGCTGAAATTAAAGAAGACTGTGGTTCAACTAGCTCATCCTCAGAAAGTGATACTGATGATGATGCTTTTCAATATCCTAGTACTTCAGAAAAGACAGCAAAGGGGAAAAAAAGCAAGCTTCTTTCACCTAATTTGATGTCTGCATTGGATCGAACAAAAACCTCAGATCGCAGTGCTACATTTTTAATTGCAGCAACAGCCCAAACAGTTGGAATAAATGTAAGTGAAAGTACTGTTTCACGAAGTACACTTCGCAGACACAGAACAAAATTTCGAGCCCAGTTAGCGAAGGATTTGAAGCATAACTTCAAACCTGATGGTCCGCTTGTCGTCCACTGGGATGGGAAACTCATGGCTAGTATTTCTGGAGAAATGGAGGAAGTTGACCGCCTTCCTATTCTTGTCACAGGAAATGATGTGGAGAAATTACTTGGTGTGCCAAAACTGCCAGTTGGTACAGGCAAGGCAATTGCAAAAGCAGTATTTGATACACTTAATGATGAGAAATCATAGATAAAATTCAAGGCATGTGCTTTGACACTACATCTTGTAACACTGGTATTCACACAGGAGCATGTACATTATTGGAACAGAAGATTGGAAAACAGCTCCTCAGTTTGGCTTGCAGGCATCATATTTATGAAATCATTATTGGTGATGTGTTTTCTGCAGTATTTGGACATTCTAGTGCACCTTGTGTTTTCATGTTTAAGAGATTCCAAAGTCACTGGAATTTTATAGACAAATCTTCTTTCAAATGTCCAGAAGAAACAATAGTACCTTCAGAAAATTGGAAAGTATTAAAAGAAGAAGCTATTAAATTTGCCAAACATAATCTTACGTTTGAAACAAAATCATTGGCAAGAAATGACTACAGAGAGTTTTTAGAACTGACTTTGATTTATCTTGGACAGGTGCCTCCACGTGGAGTACATTTTGCAGCACCAGGAGCATTCCATCATGCACGGTGGATGGCCAAAGTTATTTACTGTTTAAAAATATACATGTTTCGTGAACAGTTCAAGCTCACACCAAAAGAAGCTAAAGGGTTGAAACGATTTAATGATTTTAGCACACACTTGTACATGAAAGCCTGGTTTCGCTGCTCTAACGCAGCTGATGCACCTTTCATAGACTTAGAATTTTTGAAACATTTAAATTTGGTGAAAAATGAATGCAAAGAAATCTCAAAAGCTGCAAGCAATGGGTTGAAGAGGCATCTGTGGTACTTAAACGGTGACTTAGTCATGCTCAGCCTATTCAGCTGTCATGTAAGCACAGAAGATAAGGTTTTAATGGTTGATAAGTTGTTTAAAATAGATAAACATATAGAAGATGTAACCAATGCTTCTAAACGATTAAAGGAAAAAGAAATCGGAAATGTTAATGAAAAATCATTGCATGATTTTGTTAATGAAAAATCTTGGATGATATTTAAGTCATTGAATATACAAGGCGATTTCTTACATTCGTCCCCATCGGAATGGAAGAAATTTTATTCTTACCATGATGGTGAAAAGAAAGTGAAATGTTTAAAGACAGTAAATGATTGCGCAGAAAGTGGCGCAGCGCTCATTACAGACTACAATGAACTGATAACTAAATATGAAGAACAAAAACAATTCTTACTTCATGTTGTGGAATCTCACAGAAAGAAATTTAAGGATACTAAAAAAACCACACTTGTTCAAAATGTATGATTTTTTTATTAGGATTTTCTTCATATATGCTTACTAATAGATATTGTGTTGGCTCGCTACCTTGTATTTTATGATATAAATAAGAAATATGTACATATGAGTGTACAATTCATGGTTTTTGATGGGAAAATACAAATAAAGGTATAGTGTCAATGTTTTTTTTTTTGTCATTTATTTATATGAAATGCAAAATCCCAAACTTCAAAGTCCTTGAGCTACCTCTAAATGTACTTCAAATGAGTTGAAATTTTGCATGGGGGCTTCTTTTGTCACATGTACAAGTATTCAGGGTTAAGACCTGCACATTTTTAAAAAAAGTTTTTTTTGGACCAGTCTAGTGTACAGTGTCAATAATTAAATGACTACTAAGTAATTGGTTACAGTTTAAAAAGAAAAGTAGCCTGGTTTGAAGTGAAGTGAATCCGCCAGGATATTATCTATGCACCCCTAGGTTCAGAATCTCTGCTAAGGTAGCATTTTTAGCAAATTGCGAAGAAAAAAAAACTGTTTTGTTACGTTAAAAATCAGCAACGTATTTTCGTTTAGTGACTATAACATACCAAATTCTATTTGAAAAAATAAACAATCTTTTGCACCAGCAAACTAGTTGGAGTACAGCAATCATAAAAGATGGTATTAATGATAAAACTTTAGTTTTTTTACTTTTACTTAAGTATAATTATTGATTCACTTTTAAAAAATTTATTAGCTGTTGACAAATATCAAGTTTAAAATTTAGTGTGTAAACAAAATTTTAAAAATTTACAGATGAAAACGCATTTAGAATTAAAATGGTACACAAACTAGCATTTTTAAGTCTAAATGCCTCTTTCGAAAACTTTTTTTTAAGCTTCATCTGCTAAAGAAATTTTAAACTAAATTTAAAACCTGATAAAACTATACTCATTTAAAATTGAACATTGAATTTGTTTATTTTATGTTTTTACGAGCAGCATATTTTAAGAAACTGTACCTTGGAGCATACTATTCTTAAGAAAAAATATTATCAAACTTATTTAATATAAATAAAAGAAAATTTTTATTCAGGTTAAATCTACAAAAATTCATTAGTATAACACGAAACACGAGTTATATAACTATATTAGTAACTTTTAAAAGAATTTAAATTTACCATCCCAAATGAAATTAACTAGAGTTAAAACAATATTTGGCTGAAATTATTAAAGCAAATAACACAAAATTATTAGCTTTATAAGTTACCAACTTTTTGTAAATGCAGCCAATTCGTCATTCCATCGAAACATTCTGGCTTGACTACAGTTTCGGAATCTTTTTTTTGCGATTTACGTTTCTTCCTTTTCCTTCTGGACTTTTCAGATATTGATACTGGTTCCATTAAAAATAACTAACGTTTATTCATGATCCGACGAAATTCGTCCATGAAACACATGAAAAAATATGTAAACAATAAAATTTTGAAATTCCAAATACAGTTACAGTAAGACATAGTCTAAACGCTTCTAAAGGGCCATTCTCACTGCATGTGAAAAATTCAGGGCCATTTAACGGCTGTTTTTACTGAATATGTAGAACCCTAACGAACCATTCACACTGCATTTAATTTTACGCAAAAGAGTTTAGAAACTAAAGGACCATTCTCAACGAAAACGTTTGCCCATCTCCGATCGCTGTTGAGGAAATTTGAAAACCTGATTGGTGAAATATAATTTCTGTCGAAAAACTTATCAATTATTTTTTTCCCTCACGGTGATCGGGGTTGTGGCAACTGGGATCGAGAAGAATGCTCTTTAATTGCAAACAGAACCAATCACTCGCATATGTAAATCGCAACGCAAATACAGAAATCAGCATAGTCGTCCATTTCAATGCATCCTTTTCTGGCATCTCTAGAATCAAAAAAGCATTTCAAGTACAATTTTAGTACAATTATTCAAGTACAATTTTCTCTCATTGCATTCACAATCGCAACAAAATACGCTAGAAGACTGGTTCATGTTTTAAACCTTCTCCCTTCTCTCTTCTTCTCTACTCAGATGTATGGAAATATACTACGATATTTTCTCCTCCATAATATTTTTCGCAAGTAGGTGTCAAAAATATTTTCCAAAAAATTCCACGAAATTTATTTCAAAAACTATGTTCATTGCATTGTTCAGTTTCATATAGTTTTCCAACTAAAAAATTTTGATCTGTTTAGAAACCGCCACCGAAACTAACGTAACCTTCCTGCATGACTGTTCGCATGCTACTGATGAAAACATATGAAGTATTGTTAGACTTGGAGAGTTCTGCTCTGTGCCACCTATAGCCCATTTCGATGGCTAATGCAATTTAAATAGATGTTCTTATGGGATCGAAATAGCCTGGCTTTTACGGTGTTGGGCCTTATTCGAAATGTCATGAATTCGATCTGCACCCGCTGATGATTTTCCACCCATAAAATGGTGACAGGTGCAAGCTAAATCTGTCATGGTCATCAAAGTCCTCCACGTTTTCATAACAAATCAATACCTTTGAGAATACTGGATCGGTGATTGATCGTGCGCGGGTTCAAGTCAAAATTACGATCTGTGAATAGATGGATGGTGTATGAAAGTGTTCTCCCTGTTAAACTGGATGTGACGCGTATTTGTTGTCTCCAGATCATATCCAAGGATGTTTCTCACAATATCCAATAGCCCATTGTGCAGCTCCAGCTTGAAGTAAATAAAAGTATAACTTTAAAAGAAAAGCTAAAAGTATTACAGCGTGTGCTAACACAAACTCCAAAGAGAATCATGCGTGACTCGTATGCAGTGAGAATGGGCCTTATCACTCTTATGCCACATAACAACGTATCCCTTATGTTGATGTAGTTGTCTTATTTACAGTGCACTAGAGCTACACAATGGCATTTGGCTAGGGTCAGAAAAACAACCCTCAGAATGAGTCGAAAACATGCCATAACAATTTCGATCCTCTGCAGAGGGAATGGCAGCCTGTTTTGGTAGCCCAACGACGTGTGGTTGAAGTTGAACACTTTACGGCAGAATGGTTTAATTAGAACTGATTCACTTGTAATCAGATCAAAGTGATCACTGACCGTAGTCAGTAATTATTGACTTCGGTGATAAACACACTGCTCTCCCTACATTCCGATTCCAGAAATATATTAGAAAGCATTCTCTCTGAATGTGGTGGCCCCACCTCTATTCGTGGTAAAGAGGACAAGGGTAACTGAACGGGGAATTTTTAGCGGTAAAATATATTTTTCCAATCAAGGTATAAGATTACCTATCGAGCGATCGGAGGTGCTACAGCAGCATTCCGTTAAAATTCTTAAGGTGGTCCTAAAGCCCTATACCTGTAATGTTAAAAATCGCCGAACAGTTACACTGATTAAATAGCGTACTAAGGGTCTCGAAATTTTTCACGACCTTCAAGAATCTTGTTAACCATTACCTAAGATGTTTATTTTTGGAAAATTAGGCTTTGAAATTTTTTTAAAAGCATAGAAATAATTTGTAACATTTGATATAGTAGTTCTTTTTCTAGAAATCAGATGGCGCTATAATGCTACAAAAAGTGCGTGTTTACTGTTTGCGAGAGCAGTTTGCAAAAGAAAGCATAAAATACATATTTATATTCTCATTAATTGTAGATTCTTTTTGTTTTAGGTATTAATNCCTGAATTAAATGATGCTGTTAAGCCAAATTCAAGTATTAGGTGATTATAATTTTTGCATTTTTCAAGCTTCTCATGTTTCAAAATGTATTTTTAATGTGAACATAATGTTTTGATTTTTGTAGTATTGATGCTCGTGCTACTTTACTTAGAATATTTTCTTATTCTGAAGCAGTTCAGTCAAAGCCTAAGAGGTTTAAATTAGCACTCTTTACATTAGAATTTTGCAATACTTTTTATATTTTTTTATTATTTGTTTGATATTAATTTTAGTAAGTGAATGCAAATTCGGTGATACAAATATAAACCTGATTAGAGGAATATATTTACCCGCTAAAAACACCCCAATCAAGTGCTCGCTCGCATGTCCGAATTCGCATTCACGAGTTGATGCTTTGCAATGGAAATGGCACTAAACTGCTCTATGGGATCACATACGTAAATTGGAAGCAGTGAGAATTGCAATAGTGGAACTTTTTTTACGTTCGCCTTGTGGCTTAAATAGACAACACCCATCACACCTTACTTGCACAAGGACTCTCAATAGGTGACAGAAGACGTCTTTCGACGCTATAAGCCTGAAAAATGGCTTGTCAATTGTACTCCATTCCTAAATATAAGAACTCCATCTCGCGAGCAGAGACGAAAAATAAACGTAAAGAGTCAATTGTCACGTGCCTAGATTCCGACCTCGCTTGGAGTTGTCTTCACTTCTTCACAAAACAATCAGGGATGCGAGGATAAAAAAAAATCAAGTTTTCCTTTCTCTTATGATGTCCTTTGCCAAATGTTAGACGTCATGTAAATGAGTAGTGAGGATATTCCAAAGAGATGTCATCATAATTTTGACACTTAGCAGAGGGGATGGCTTCCCCGCTTAGGTCCAAATCCTGCACCCAAAGTCGAATATTTTACGGTGGGACAGTTTAACGAGGATCGATACTGAATGGGACTCTAACCCATGATCCGTCTACCACGGAAAATATTATATGTCAGCGGTGTGGTCGAAGTGCGAAATTCTAATCGATCATCCTTCCCTGGGATTCGAATCCGGTACAACTCATTGGGAGGAGAGCGCTCCATCATCTGAACCGCCTTGGCTTTTCTAGTATTAATTTTATATTACAACCGTCGTTGAACAGCCGACCCAATATTTCGTGTTTACGATTACTAATGTTCAACTCCGTAGCCTTGTAATTTTGAACCCAATCCAGAAGACAGGGGAACTTCTGGATCAAATATTGAGAGATATTTGCCTTCGTGGAGGATTTTTTGATGGAACTAACCCACATTTGCGTCGTTCCATGGAGAGAGAAAAAACACGAAAACCTCCCATGGTTAGTCTGATGGCAAGGGGACTCTAACCCATGATCCGTCTACCACTGAGGATATTTTACGTCATCTCTGTGGTCAGTGCAAAACGGATGCGGAATTCGTATCTACTAGTCATCGTTGGGATTCGAACCTCCGTTAGGATTTAACCTCATTGGAAAAAGAACGCTTTCTCCACTGAACCGTTACGACTATCTAGTATTAATATCATTATTATATCCGTCGTTGAACAACCGACCCAATTTTTGGATTTACGACTGCTGATGTTCAACTCCGTAGCCTTGTAATTTTGAACCAATCTAGAAGACAAGGAAACTCCTGAATCAGTACCTCCAGAGGTATGATTTGTTATGGAAACATGGAGGACTTTGTGACTCGAAAGATTCAACGTGCATCAGTCACCATTTACTACACGGGGAGTCTTCGGCCGGCGGGGATCGAACCAACGACCTCTTGGACATGAGCCAAACGTCTTACCAACCAGGCTATCCTGGCCCCTTCTAGTATTAATAAGAGATATCTGTCTCTTCTAAACCAGAGAATTGTATCAGAAAAAAAAGGTATCAAGGTCGCCAAACTTTGCTTTAATAAAGTCGCCGAAAACGTTAAACCTTTTTTTTCACAAGAAGATTTTTAAAACTTTATTTGTTTTTTATTTTTTTATTTTTCCATTTATTTTTTGGTAAAAGTAAGGTGCATTAAATTTTTATTAAACTCTAAAAATTGAATTTTTTTTTGCTTTATTAAAAAAAAAGGAAAAAAATGCATGTCTGATAAGCTTATAAAATAATGTATCATAAAGAATTAAATTCCATCATCTAATATATTTAACGAGGAAGAACTTAAATAACATCAGACTCGCCTAGAGAGTATTTTGTAATTTATGTCTGTACGTAACCTAAATGCTGCACGTATTAGTTTCACTCACAATGTCACTCTATCCCGCCTCAAAAGCAAATTCAATTCGACAAGTTACTCATGAATTTCATTATCGTCTGTGTCGGGTCCTGACTCTCTGATTAAAATGACATGAGTTGAACAAGCCACAATTCTTATAAATATTGATCAATAATTCAACGTCGATAAAAATAAAACAAGTGATTCCTTTAAAAAGTTTTTCTTTTTCTTTTTTTTTTTTTTTTTGGATAAGATAATAAATTGATTTATACTGTATTTAATTTTCGTCCAAAAGATAAAAAAGGAAATTATGAATCATTTATTCTCTTTCTCTCTCTTTGCTCCTAAAACAATGTTTTAAAACCTATCGGATTCCCCCTCCCCCATCCTTTGACATTTAAATGTCAAATGTCATAATTTTCCTCGAGCTTACTTTACATGATCCCTTCTTCGAGAAATCTTTTTAAGTTTCTTACATTTATTTTAAAAACTCATAATTTTATGAACAAAAATATGTTAGTGCTTCTTTTTTTTTTTTTTTTTTTTTTTTTTTTTTTTTTTTTTTTTTTTTTNTTTTTTTTTTTTTTTTTTGACAATTAGAACAGAAATTAACATTTATAAATGTTCATTCTTTTAAAGTTATTTATTTCTGCACGTAAATAAATATAAATTTGCTTCTTTTGTTCTTGGTTTGTGTTTAATCAGACAAGAACTGAGTGCGGTTATGCTGCACTAAACTTGCGGAAAATTCTTTCCCTGTGATCTTAAATTTTTAAGAATAATTTAATTGTATCACCTACCACTGAGAGGTTATTTATTAGAGCTGCAAGCTACTTAAAATAGTTTCCCCCTTTCTTTTTTTTTCTTCTCAGGAGTAAAAACAATAAAAAAAAAAGTGTTTTTCCATCATTTTTTTTAAACATTCGTTTTTTTATTTATACTATTATCTCCTTATTTCTCTTCATATTAAAAAAAAATCTTTAACACCACTGCTGTTTAGGATGTTCAACGTTTCGTTACATTTTGATTGTTGCTCAAAAATTCTAAAACTTAGAAACTTAAAATTACGAAGGGTTTAAAAGAACGTAAAACGATCACAATGAATAGAAAAATTTTAAATTTTATAATTAGTTCAAGAACTGTTAAATTTGAAGTAAAAATATCATGCAGGCTACACTGCTGCCCGTTTAAAAGCGAAATTCGATGAAGATGAGATTTGACATGCCATTTTCATTTATAAACATAGCATAAACACATTTTTCTTTTACTTTTCAAATTTCTAGTTTGTTCGACATTCTAGTATCAAAATTAATAGTATCTAGTTAATAGTATCAAAATTTTAAATTTTTTAGTTCACTTATTTCTTGTTAAATAAGGCCGATTTATTAAATAATAAGTGCGCATGAAAATCATATGAATGCTAATTCCCTTGTCAGCGACATTAGCTCATCACTACCTCCCCATAGTGCGTGGGAATGCATTTTACCCTCCCTGATTTGCCCTTTCAACCAGAGTGATTTTTCTTGTTTTGTTTTTTCATGCTTATTTGAATTCTCTCTCGGCTACTGAAGTTTCTTCTCTTTTTTTTTTTTTTTAAAGTGTAATTTCTTATTTTTATTTTTCATTTTCCATTGGCAACTTTACATTTTTTATTTCTATTACTTCTATTTCCTCTCATTCACATCTGTCGAATCTTAAAAATGAGCACCTATTTTTGGGCGCTGAAAACATGTCGACTGTTATTTGTCATCTGTATTTTTTTTAAGCGAATCAATTTTTTAAAAATCAAAACATGCCTATTTATCTATTGTTGTATAAAAAATCATTTTGAGGAAAGTTGCTATCATTGGGCCACCTGGATTGTATTGTTATAGGCAACATGAGCTTTTTGCTGACTTTTTGTATTCTTTATAAAGTTTAAAAAGTGTCATATTGAAAAAGAATCTATTCACATTCAAATGAATTTGCTGAACAAGAAAGTACGAATTTTGTATTTTTCTGTATATTCCTTGTGTAAGTAAATTTTGGATATAAGTGAGATGTTAATAGTGTTTAATCATTATAGGTAATATTTAAAGCTGCGTTTAATCAGTGTTATTTAGCCACATTAATTATGATCGTTTACTTTGTCATAAAACATTTGCGAACATATTATACACCGCTAGTTGCGTTTATCATAAGTTTCAGTATCCTCAGTTTCAGTGAGTAATTTGGTCACCATAAATATTATACGGGCAATCATTTTGTAAACTATATAGTGTCCAAAAAGAAAAAAAATTGTAGCTAGTGATAGGTTCTTCACGCTATTACGACTCAATCTTAATGGTATAAAGAGATGACTTTAAATATGCCAATTGATAAACGCAGACGATATTTCATAAGTTACGAAATTTGGCACAAAAACATAATTCCTCTGAATAAACAAACATTTCATTCTATTTTCGACATACTTTTTTCGTGTTTCGCTTTATTTCGAGAACTTTTTAAGCTAATTAAAAAAAATTTGCGCTAAATGATAAAATTCGTTTTTTAAAAGATTATCCCATGGAGAAATAATTTTTAATATTTGTTTATTATTTTTACTCAATAACAGGTGAAAAAAGTTTGAATTGTAAGGTGCAATATTTTTAAGCGTTTTACTGATTTGTATAAATGAGATGCATTAAATAAAATAGCTACCTGGCTTTTACATATAATCTTCCTAGCCCAAGAGCGAATCTTATTTATTTTAATTGTTTCCATATTTACTTAATATTCTCTTATAATAACATGGGCTCAGTAAGAAAGGTAATAATTAAACTAACATGAACAGCTAGTATAATCGAATAAAAAAATTTAAATTAGATAACTAGTTCGAGAATATTTCTTTTAAACTTGCACCAAGGAAAAAAGTCATGCTGGCAGCTTTCCATTCCTTACAAATGGTACTACTAAGATGCAATTTTAAGTGTTAAAAACACATTATTATTTATAAATTTAACATAAGTTTTTTTTAAAAATTCTAATTTGTTCAGAAGTTATGCAGTTTTAAGTGTTTTTTACAACGATTTTTTATTTTATTTTAAACAATGACCTAATATCAATTGTTGTAGGGCAGGGATGGCGAACCAATGGCACGCGTGCCATTTATGGCACGCGACACAATATTTTGGGCACACCACCGATCACAATTGTTATTGCACTATGAATTGCTATTACACAAATGTTATTTACACTATGAAGCTTATGTAACAATTAAATTAAAATTCACAAAAAACAAACAAAATAATAAAAAATTAACAATTAATGCTGAAAAAACAATTAATAACCATGACAAACAAGCTAACAATAAATAACTAGCAAAAAATCAACAGTCCGTTTAAACTAATATCTTACAGCCTAATATAAGTTATTTGTCATTTAGTTTGCAACAACAGAAGTCACACTGATGTTACTTTAAGTTGAATTACGCGTATAACTGAGACATTGCAAAATATATTTTATTTTCAAAGTAAATAAAGAGTTTTGAGTTGATATTATTAAGTATTATTATTTTCCCAATAATCATGAAGTCAAAATTATTTGACGGCACGTCTGTGATTTCATTAAACAATTTTTTAGAAAAAATGGCACGTTGGTGTAAAAAGGTTCGCCACCCCTGTTGTAGGGTATTTTTTCATTTTTCTCGAATTTCTTATTTTATGAATTCGCACTTGAGTTTTTGTCAATAGTAATAGAGATTACTTGTTATTAAATATAAATCATAACATTCAGGTTAAAATTTTAAAAATGTAAAAAAAAGCACCCTAATTTCAGAAGGTTAAAAGCCGTTATCCATTGGAATGCTATATGATATAAAGTTTCGTTAACGAGTAAAATTACTTGTCATTTTTTCTTTCGTATTACTTATTACTTATACTTATTACTTATACTTATACTTATTACTTATACGTATTACTTATTACTTACTTTCGTATTACTTATTCGTATTACTAATTACTTGTCATTTTGTCTTTTTTTCCCTTTAGTTCTTAAAAGTAAAAAAAATGAAAACAGTTAAAGTGTGAAAAATAAAGGAATAAATAGATTTAATTAAAACAAGAAAATTATAATATTAAAAGAAATTATTTAGGATATTGTTTCGAAATTCATTATTTAAGGTTTATAAATTATACCTGTAATCATAATTTATAATTGTTAAAAATGTCAATAAAATTCCGTAATGCTTTTATGTTTTAATTTGTAGTTTCCTCTGTATTACTCGGAAAGCTTTATCTTTAATTAAAATATCACTTATAAATAACATTTTGTATTTGTTAAAAATGGAAATTACATAAAATTTTTTTTTCTTTTTAATTTTTATAGTTTTGCAATTTTTTATGAAAATATTTTAGCATTAATTTTAAAAAAGTATATAAATAATTAATTAATTCTTTTTTTTTATTATTTCTCTATATTTCTCCAAATTTCATCGTAAATAATTTGTTTTAGATTTCAGAGTAAGGAAAAGGAATCTAATTTTTTCTAAACACTTTTTAAATAGAAACTAATATGATTCAAAAATAAACCTTACATATTTTTTTAAAAAAAAATAATTAAATGAATGCAATTTCCTCCCTAAAAATTAATAACAATTTTTATTGGTTTTTGTGAATCATTTAAATTTAAAAAAAATAAATAAAATAAAATACCTACATCTTTTTTATTTTTATAATGTAGTTTCTTTTTTGTAGAATAACAATACTGTATTTAAAATATATATGTATCCAAAATTTTTATTTTATTTCAATACAGTAGATTCATTCCAGGTAAATAACATTTTTATATCGATTATGCCAGTTAAAAATAGACATTCAAAATTTTTTTCTTCTTAGTATTATTTTTTACATAGAAGATAAAAATGACATTTTAGTTTCTCTTTATCGTCACAAGATAGCGCTGTTAGTCCGTAAACTTCAACAACTGAGGCTTACAGTGCGCCTGCGTGATGAATCATTTGTTTCTCGGAAGAAGAAAAGTTCTTTTTCATTTTCGTCTGCTTCTGTGATTGTTGTTTGTGATATTTCCCCTCTCGCTCTGTGAGATAACGAACAGCTGTGATCGTAAAATATTATACAGAATGGCTGAAGGCGAAACGGAGAATATTGGAGAAGAAGTATGTTCATTTGATTTCTATTCTTCTTGCCAAAATGGTGGTAGAAATAAACATGTTAACAATTCCACGTGTAGTAGTGAACGGGGAGATGTTTGTTCTTTCTTTTTGAAGGGCAACTGTAAATTTGGCGATGAATGCTGGTTCCTACATCCAGCCGCAAACGAGGAAATGAACTTAATTTATAAATCGTTGAGTGATATACATATTACTGAACTAAACCACCAACAAATAGAGAATTGTAATCCGCTAACGACCAATCGTGACGGTCCAATTAGAAATGAATTAGAAAGTTTTTATTCCATACGAAATACTGAGCCGATTTCCTGTGTTCCAGGTACGCCTAATTGGGTGAATGCGCCTGAATTCGTGCCCAAGAAAAATATATCTTATTCTGATGCTTTAAAATCAAATAATGGCGTATTTGAATTAGAACCACAAAAATATGATATGGAATATTGTGAACATTACTATGAAGGTGTTTGTCCAAATTATGACTGCCCCTGCATTCACGGAAATTTTTGCGAAATTTGTGGGACATGGTGTTTGGACCCGTCGAATGAGAGGCAGCGGAATCGTCATATTCAAGAATGTGAAAAAGAATTCGAACAAAACATGGAATTTTCTTTTGCTTTGCAACGTAGCGTGGACAAAACATGTGGTATATGCATGGAAGTTATAATGGAAAAAAAGCCGATTTCTGAACAATATTTCGGGATCCTTGAAAACTGCAATCACGTTTATTGTTTATCCTGCATCAGAAAGTGGCGAAGTGTCGAGACCTACGAAATCGCCGAGGAAGTGGAACGGGAAGTAGACCCTGTTGTTACTCGTTCTTGTCCAGAATGTAGAGTGTCATCTCATTTTATCACACCTAGTCAATATTATGTCGATTCAGAATCCGATAAGAAAAAACTAATTTCAGAGTATAAACTGGCCTTAAGTAAAAGACCTTGTAGGTATTTCAAACAAGGTGAAGGGAAGTGCCCATTTGGTGGTGCGTGTTTCTATCTCCATGCAAAACCTGATGGTACAAAAGTAGTTTTACCATTACCTACTTCTAAAAGACGCCGACAAAACCAAGATGGTGAATTGGATTATGATTACGAGGATGGTTTTCAATTGTGGGATTTTTTAGAAGTGCGTGAAAGCATTGGTTAAACTTATTAACTTGTAGGCCTTAGGTAAAAAAAAAAGTGCAAGTAACTATTTCTATTTATCCTTGTAAAAGTAATTTATCATATTCTGCTAAAAGTTTTTGTTCGGACATACTGATTCCTGCCTGTTGTTGTAAGTGAGATTGCCTTATTTCAATTAGTTTTTACTAGAAAATAGTTTGCCAAACTTAAGTCTTGATTTTACTGAGCAATTATTAAACAAATTTTTACAAAAATCTGTGTTTATTATGAAATTTACATTATAACTGATAAAATTATTTTAAATTTTATACTGTAACTTTTTTTTTAAAAAGAAAATTGGCCTATGTAATAAAATAACTTAGCAACCATATTCAGTCTATTACCTTGTTTCATTTTTATATCCAGTAACTGCAAGGTCTGCATTTCGCCTTATTTGATTTTTTCGGTAACGTAGCATTCATTTATTTTGAATTTATTTTCATGGCATACTTTGATAAATAAAATAACTGCATAGTTTTGTAGGCAATTCTATCACTATTTTGAGCAATAAAAGTTATTAATTATATAAAATTTATAATCAGTAAACATAATCAAAATTATGATGTTTATCAATGTAAAAGAATTAAAATATTTTTGAAAAACTAAGCTGAAATTCGAAATTTTGGAGAAGTCTCGTAATAATTGAAGGTTATGCAATTTGCTTTATTTCTAACTATGGAGGCATTCAAATTGACTCATACGATTTCTTTAAGATTATCTGGAAACTGTCTAGGTATTTTTAAGAAATTTTGTGAAAATTTAGACATAATTTGTGAAAATTAAAAATTATCAACACAAAAATATAGTAAATTAAGAAAATATATTAAAAAATTGCCACAACAAATAATAATTTAGGACTGGTAAATTTCTATACATTGTTCCCATATGTTAAAAAACAATTTTGCTATTGTAAAATTTTGGTCTTAAAATTGTATAAAAATTTAAAAATCATTGTCCAAAGTTAAATTTGAACTTGAATTTTGTAAAAACATGCATTTAACAGTACTAGCACTAAAAGTTATCTTCATTATGAGAACATTTTAGACTGGGTCATGCAGAAAAAAGTTTCACAGAGAAAAAAATAAAGGTCTATTAGAATAAATGTAGAATAATGTTTAAAATAATAGTTCTAATTTCGACTTTCTGTAAACTTTACATAGGGACTGCCTCCTCATTTTATTTTAAAAAGCTCTGCGAAAAAAAAGCTCGCTCTAATATGGCATGAGCGACCGGTTTACGTTTATCACACTGCACCAAACACGTGTTACGTAATCGAAGAAGAGCTCTTTTTCCTCGGAAAAGCTTTTTTTTCATAGCAACGAGGTTTGCATGGTACTAGTACTTTTTCCTCCACTTCAATTAAGGAATGGAGTGGCTGACGCTTTTTTTCTCCCACGGCGTTTCGGGATCCCGGCTTGCTTTCAGTTAGGCATGTGGAAAAAAAGCGCTCTTACTAACCACGTGGAAAGCGCATTCTTCTACATCATAATAGCAATCCACAGGAGTTATTCACTGGGTTTATCGTTTTTACGGGAATACAACAACAAAATTTTAATAGGTGGGGGGAGGAGAATCCTAGAGCTAGCTTTTTAAAAGTATTGTGTGAAACTACCGTTTTTCCTAAGTTGAATTTGTGAAGGTACAGCTAAACAGTGTTAAATTTGACCTGGACGTACCCCTGTATAGATAATCATATTCTTGGGATTTTTTTTTTAAATTCATAAAGTTTTACTTTTTTTTTAAAAAAATTGAATAAATTCTTAAAGTTTATGAAAGACAATAAAAAATGATAAAGATATCGAAGAAAAATATTCTTGTGTTCATTTGTTAGGAATTATTTATAATCTAATCTCATTTATACAAAATGGAAATCGGATCAATAGTTCCTGAGATCACAGTTGTTTTATATGGATTTTTAGAAAAACTGCTTGTTTGCTATCAGTAAAAACAGCTCTGTATTGGTTTCTGTCCCTCTTCGATTCTATCAAATTTCGAAGAAATAATAATAAAAATTAACACGTTATTTTATTTACCGATAGAAAGTGCATCCCCGGTGATCTCATGGGACATAAATTTTTTGTTAAAAAAATTAGATAAGAAAAGCCAAGAGAATAGTGGTCATAATTAGCACGTTCACAATGAAGCTATCTGCTTTGTCTTTACATTTTTCAAAATGAAAAGTAGTTGATTAAAAACCTCGTTAACTAAAAACTATTACAGTTTTAGGGGTTTCTATTGTCAAAAATACGTGGTTTTTATCCCACCGCCCTTGAAGGAGTTAAAAGATAATTGAGGTCGGAAAGAACAATTGCCCGGTATATCCTACACTGGTGTTTAAGATAAAGTGTTACTGCCGGGTACACATTTGCCCGGTGTATCAACACTTAGCGACAAGCTTCAACACATTTCGGAGCTGATGACATTTCGTCGCCAACGCCGAACATTTTTATGTTGACGACTTTTTGTTTTTTTTATGTTGACTTTTTATTACTTTTTTATGGTTAACGTATACTATAATTTTGCCGAATATCGTATTTAGTATCTCTAATGAATATCTCCTTTTTTGGTTTCTGTATTACTTTTTATCATACATACTTACGGATGCCTTTTTAAATGGAGTTTGGATCAATGAAATCAGATCCAGCTCTTGTGGCTTTGATTTTTACATACAATACCCTAATTACAAAAAGCAACTCTTGAATTAAAAAAAAATTATTTTTCATGAATTATTTTACAGCAATACTTTATATATTGTTTAAAATTTAGACACATTTTTATATAAGAGTACAATTTTTTACTTGTGAAAATAAAAAAAATAAAATAAGAAAACTAATTGAATACAAATAACAAGAAAGCGTGGCTGAATTATCTTTAGCACGTTTAATAAAATTCTTTGTTGGACGTTTTTCGAATAATAAATTTTTATTTTATTTTTTTATTTCTACTTATTCCCATCATATCCTTGAGACCAAAATGTTTTATACTTTATTTTCAATGTCACTGCCGTAGTGGTTAATATGTTATCTGTTAGTGTTTATTTCTCCCGATAAGGAATTTATTACACAACATTGCATTCATTCACTGAAATTTGACGAGTCATTGCTTAAAAGCTAAAGTCTATTTTTTTTTATAAACTATTTCTTACATTAATTATCACTATACATTTAATGGATTCGATCTAATGACGTGTGTTTAAAATATTATTTGAAGTTTTAGTATCATATTAATAATACCGATTCAAAAAACACGATGAATTAAAAAAAATAAAGCGAATATGTATATGTATATTATTGGACAGTGTTTTCTAGCAAAATAGAAAAAAAAACTTTTTCCTAAAACACGTTTAATAATTGTCACTAAAAAATGAACGAATAATTATGAAAATTTAATAATGTGTAAATTAGAAAAAAAAAACATGATAAAAATTTTTCTTTTTTGTTTAAATGAAATCACAAATTTTTATTCATTAAATGAATATTTTTAAGCTAATCTTGATTATCGATTTATATCCAGAAGAGCTGATGAAAAAAATCCAATTTGAAAGAGTAATAAAAAAAATTTTAAAGACTTGAATAAAATAGTTAACTAGTTTTTTCCCCCCATTTTTGCTAATTCAACATTTTAAATTAATACTGTTGAAAAAAACTGCAAAAAATTGTTATAGTTTTAAATAGATCTGATCATTACTACAAAAATGCTTATTCATGAAAAGATATTTTATAAAAAATGAAAAAACATGTAAATGCACTTTTAATCAAAAATAAGTTTTATCGTGAGGTAATAAAAAACAAAAAAAATATTTTACTTTACTGCTCAAGTTTTTTGTAGACACGTAATTAATAATTTTTTAATTTAATTAAAAATTAAATTAAATACTCTATTGTGAAATAAAAGAAAATTTAATTATTGTGCCTCGATTACTTTCATTTGCACTACATGAAACATAGAAGACAAATTTTTTTAAAGTTTCATAATAAATTATGAGTTTGCAGATAACTGTTAACTTAATTATTTTACTATCTGATAGTCATGAAACTTTAAGAAAATCCCTTGTGCCAGCTTCGAAAGCTGTAATAATATTTTATAGTAAATATAAGTTTTTATTTAACTCAAAATTGTAATGTAACTTAATTAAATTGTTTTACCTGATGTATATAGCTGCTAATCGATTTACATTGTTCTAAATTAATTGTGACTGAAATTTGTATGTATAACGTATAGGTAGATGGATCAATGGTAAATCTGCTCGGCAATAGATAAATCATAATAAACAACAAAAATTCAAATTTGAGATTTTTACACATTTTGCATAAATATGTGTAAAAATCTCAAATTTGAATTTTTGAATAAAAATTTTCTATTTCAAAAATACATTTTGTTTTATCTGTTTCCTGCATTAAACTGTAATAACGATAAGATGTAATCGGCTATTTTGATGAAGCTAAAATAAATGTAAAATCTGCTAACTTTAAATGTTCTTATTTTAGACAACATATCGCTCATGGGCTGCAATAGTGGCACAACTCGAAAAACACGCATTTTTGACTAAGAACAGGTGTAAATATGAAAATACACATTCTTCCAGCTGCAATACTAGCACAACTCATAACTCAACTTGAAGATAATCTTCGTTTAAGCAAACGAAAGCATTCCTTGTTCTTTTTCCTTCGCAATCAAATCTTTAAATCCACTTATCGCAAAACATGATTTTTTGAGTTGTGCCTCTAATTGCAGCTCATGTGATATCGCGCATCTTGCCACAATATGTCGCAGTTAAACGAATCCCCTCCCTCCCCTTTTAGCATCATTTCAGCAGCTGGTTCCAACTATTAAGCTTTTATTTGCCATCTTAACAATTATTTATTTTCAGTAAACATAGATGGCATCACTACTGTGTATCGTGTTCTGAAGAAACTAAGAAATTTAGTAGTCATTTTAAAAAAAAAAAAGAAGATTGTTCATTGTTCAGGTTTTTTAGTACCTGAGACTTCTGAAAACTGAAAATTCAAGGGAAAAGAACAGTGCAGAACATCTTATATTATTTTTAGTGGAGAAGTTAGTCGGAAAGTTGTGAAATCTGGAGTTTTTTATTTTTAAGGAAAGAAAAAATATATTGCCCTTATATAATAAATTCAATTCTTCCCCTCAAATCACTCGCGGTTCCTTGAAAATAGGTAAAGCTTACACAGGGGCATTGCGAACTTATATTTTTAGAAGGGGAGAAATTTTCATTTTGTCGAATGGGATTCCAGATTCGATCGAACCATAAATAAGCGACAATTATTCTTTATATAATAAAGAAACATCAAGAATGGCTGTAAAGTATGAGCTAAGTACAGCTTTGCCACTTCATTTCCTATTTAATAAATTTGATACAAAGCGTTCTTGGATTATCATTATACCTAATTATTTTAAACATAAACAATCTGATAATCATTGATGTGGTTTTAGGTGTTTGATGAAATTTCAGAAATTTCTGCTTACAGTTATTGTTGCAATTTTTATTTCACTGTCTCTAAGAAAATTAAAAAAAAAAAAAAAAACTTCTTAAGAAAAGTGAAAGTATCTAACAAAATAAGTATGATCTGTCTCTATGATACACCTGATAATATCTATCAACAATCAGGCATATTTTTAAGAGCTTAATTTAAAATAAATTCAAGTTTACTAATAGCTGAAGAAATAGATTTGCTGTAACCAAGGTAAAATAATTTTTATGCATAAAAATCGACAGATTTAACAGTTTAATTTGTTTATTATCGAAAAACGAACAATCTAATATTTAATTCTACAAACGTGGCCGAATGTAGATTATAATTTAATATATATATATATATATATATATACAGTGGTGGCCAAAAGTGTGGACACTTTTTGAAAGTTTCATGTTTTTCAACTTTGTGTGCTTGTAGAATATATTAATTTTCACTTAAATACAAACGTTTATATATCAAATTGAAGGTAATTTAATGTAGAATTTAATAATAAATACAGTATTACAATATCTGTATTACAAAAAAAGTTATGCAACTAATAGTAAGATCTATCTTAGATTTGCATTTTTTTAAAGTGATACTTACACAATCAATACTTAGTAGGATAACCCTTATTTTTTAAGACAGCTTCACAGCGTCTTTTCATCGAGTGAACGAGTGTTTGGAGTTCATCTTTCGTAATCACATGGTGCCAAGAATCAATTATAGCTTCAATAAGTTGTCTTTTATTGGATGGACGTTTTTTTCGTACAAGAATTTTCAAACATCGCCACAAATTTTAAATTGGATTGAGATCAGGGCTGTTTCCTGGCCATGGTAATATATCCATGCCTTTATTTTGAAACCATGCTTTGCATACTTTTGCTGTGTGGCATGGAGCTGAATCCTGCTGAAAAATAAATGGTGCGTTGTTTGGGAAGACATCCCTGATGGAAGGTATTATTTTGGTTTCAGGACAGTTTCGATGTATTTACTGGCATTCAGTATGCCATCAATCACTTGAATTCGGGCTACACCATCTGCAGACATACATGCCCAAATCATGACATTTGTTGAGTCTTTTGTAATCGCTTCAATGCAGTCAGGATGAAGTGCTTCACCTACTCTACGTCTCACGTATTTTCTACCATTACTACCAAAGAGCGATATTTTGCTCTCATCGCTCCAGATTACTTGCTTCCATTAATTTTCTGACCATTTAATGTGTTCTTTTGCCCACTTAACTCGTTTCTCACGTTGCTTTTGATTTAAATATAGTTTTTTCCTTGGAATTCTAGCTTGTAGTCCAAATCCTGATAACCTTCTTCTTATTGTTCTTGAACTTACTGCAATACCCGCTGCATTCATTTCACATCTAATGGCATCTGATGAAATTTTTCTATCTTGTAGACATAGCCGTATAATTTTTCTATCGGCAGTAGCACTTGTGCATTTTTTTCGGCCTGATTTGGCTTTATTTTCCACTGATTTCGTTTTTTCATAACGTAAACAGAACTTTTGTACACCAGAACTTCCCCAACAACGCACCATTTATTTTTCAGCAGGATATAGCTCCATGCCACACAGCAAAAGTATGCAAAGCATGGTTTCAAAATAAAGGCATAGCCATATATATTACCATGGCCAGGAAACAGCCCTGATTTCAATCCAATTGAAAATTTGTGGCGACGTTTGAAAATTCTTGTACGAAAAAAACGTCCATCCAATAAAAGACAACTTATTGAAGCTATAATTGGTTCTTGGCACCATGTGGTTACGAAAGATAAACTCCAAACACTCGTTCACTCGATGAAAAGACGCTGTGAAGCTGTCTTAAAAAATAAGGGTTATCCTACTAAGTATTGATTGTGTAAGTATCACTTTAAAAAAATGCAAATCTAAGATAGATCTTACTATTAGTTGCATAACTTTTTTTGTAATACAGATATTGTAATACTGTACTTATTATTAAATTCTACATTAAAATACCTTCAATTTGATATAAAAACGTTTGTATTTAAGTAAAAATTAATATATTCTACAAGCACACAAATTTGAAAAACATGAAACTTTCAAAAAGTGTCCACACTTTTGGCCACCACTGTATATATATATTTATCGTGTAAGCTGATGAAAAGATTATATATTTTCATTATTTTGCTTTCCGGCTTTTTAATTTTTTAAAAAAATATTTATTTTAATATAGTTTTTCTTTTTCGCTTTTCATTAATCTTGTTTTCTCTTAACCATGTTTTTATATTATTTATATTAACCTCTATATTTTAAACCTATTTTATGAGTTCTATATACTTGCAGCTTTTGCGCAGCAATGAAACTTATTAATTTTCTTCGTTTTTCTTCCTTTCATCTTCGGATTTCTAATATTATGGCAATTTACGAATGTCTCTAAGGAAAGGGGTGGGCTGTTATAGTAATATACAATGCGCAAATTTAAAAAAAAAAAGAAAAAAAGGCGGACCACCCAGAGAAATTTTTTTATCTAATGATCGATTCTTCACGTTCTAGGACTCAATATTAAATGTTCTTCAAATTTCTTAATTAATTATTCACCCTCTCGAACCTTTAAAATTGAGTCTAACTACATGAATAACCCATCATTACATAAAAAGTTATTCAGGGTGATCCGCTTTTCATTTTGTTCCCTGTACATCTTGATATGCATGATGCTAATCTTAACTTTCCAAAACTACCTGAAAACTATTGCTGTTAGTTTTCATTTTATCACAAAGTATTTTTGATATATATTATTGAAAATACATTACCATTAATATTGGTTTAAAAGGTAGACTTTAAAGGTGTAAATTAATTACTATTTACATGTAAATAATTTAAGTAATCAAACACATAAACTCTGAACATTCACAGCTCTCTTTCAACTGAGTGGGATCGTTGATAACCAAAACGCGGAGATTACCGCAATCTGTAAAGTATGGTCTTTATAGTTTTGTCAGGGGAGCAATCAAAAGTTCTTTGTTCCTTATTGCTATTATTTATTTATTTTTTGTACTTCGTTATAACTCTAGACTTTTTTTTAGAAGATCACAAACTTTTTTCACGTATCTAATTTGTTCATCAGAAGATATTTCCATACGAAAAAGATAAATAATTATTTTTCGCACTTTTTTCTAATAATTATCAATTTTAAAACAAAATATAGAAGATTTTTCTCATCACTTTAGCTAACGTAATATAAAGTGACAAAATGTGAACAAAAGTGGATAAAATGTTTTTGAAAAATAAAGATTTAAAAACTTTTTACTCAGAAACTATACCATCAAATTTTGCCACTTAAAATTACGTTGATAAAAATGCTGTATTTTTCTGTCTATTGTTAAACTTTAATTCAGAAACAGTTATTAATTATTTTTTAATATTTACAATAAAAAATAACTAATGCTGTTAAAATTATTTTTTCTTGGAATCTTTAGTGAATTTAATAACTGTGTACTAATATTGTTCAATTCTTTTCGATAAGAGATGTTAATTTCACTATTGAGGTTTTAATTAATGTTAATTTTACCATTGAGGTATTTATTAGAAAATTATATTCTGGAAAATACATTTTGTATTTTCCAGATTCCTACTATCCTTATTGTGGTAGAAAAAAAGTTTTAATCAGTTGAAAAACATTTAAGGTTATTGGAGCAAAATATATTTTTGATCCTGATTTCGCAACTTACTTGGCACCATTTAAACCTTTAAAGAATCGTGTACAATACGTAAAAATTCGCCCATTATACCAAATTATAAAATTTTTTGTACAGGGGGTGCAATTTGGCCGAAAAACAACTCTCTGAAACGCATCTTTTAGGGTTTTTCTTTTGAACTTGAACTAATTTGACTGACAACTTAACTAACTTATGTACACGAGTTATTTTATGGTGTTTTCTTTATTGTCCATTATTTCTTTGAAGATGCAGTTAGTTATATTAAAATTGAAAAATATTTCTTAAAATATTTTTCAAAATGTT